TTTAACTTAATTAAGATTTAGTAAAAGTGTCCTATCTTAAAAACTAATTGCATATTATTTAAATTATTATTGATATTATCATATTATTAATGATATTATTAAAGTATAATATTAGTAATATTGTTAGTTTTATTTTTTAGATTTTATTATGATAGTGGATATTTACTTTGTAACATAGTTTTATTTAGATTATATTTAGAATTTCATCAAATTTGTTTCTTATTTTTCTTTTATAAAGTTCAAAATATTTTTAGATTAGAATAAGTAAAAATACCTTTTGAATTTATATGAAAGTGGTGGATCCTTGGAGTCTAGCACTCCTTGGATCCTTAAGCGACCACTATCGAGGTGTACGCCTTGAGTTGTGGTCGTTTCGTCTTTCATCGTTAAAACTACCCAACCTTCTTTAAACCTTTCAAAATAGGTGAACCATATTTCTAATGATGTGTCTACCCTAGTTTAATCCACCTACGCTAATATTTTCAAACCATTTTTCTTAATTAAATTACGAAAGTATCGAGTTCTTGGAGTCGCGCATTCCTTGAATTCGAGAGTGATAACTATTGAGGTGTACGCCTCGGTTAGCGTGTCATTCGAACATTCGTTCCTAAAACACCTCTTCTAATTACTTGGACAAGTACTTTTACTGTCCAACAAATAATATTTCATAATTAATGGGATGAAAAAGATGTCGTTGGGATCTAGCATTCCAATGATACCCCGACTAATTGGTTACGAGGCCGACGTCTTGTTTATCGAATAGTCGCCATTCCTCCTAAACATACAACTCGTCTAACCTCGTTTCTCACCCTCGTGTGATCGAATCTAGATCTCCTTCAATTCAAACTCTTTTGCGTCTAAACCGTCCATCAAACATATTTCGAATGAAAAAGGTATCGTTGGAATCTAGAATTCCAATAATATCCCGATTAATTGATTGTGAGACCGACGTCTCGTTTATCGAATAGTCATCATTCTTCTTCCAAAATACCTAACCAAACTCCTTTTCTCGCCCCCGTGCAATCAAAACTTTAAACCTATTCAAATATATTCTCTTTCTCAAACCGAAACATCCAATACGATAAACTTGATTCCTCGCCCTCGCGCGATCCCTACAACTCAAACAACTCTTCTCAAAGAACATTGTTTAGTCCATTCTTCTGCGCATAACAAACTCGTGCTTCAGCCTCCCCTAGTTAGCAGACAAGCCAATGTTTAGCAGTTAGAATGCGACATAAACTCTCATTCGACTCTTAGATAACCCTTACCAAAGAACATTGTTTAAACCTTTCTTTCACGCATAACAAACTAGTGCTTCAGCCTCCCCTAGCGAGCAGACAAGCCAATGTTTAGCAGTTAGAATGCGACCTAAACACTCGTTCGTTCCCAATTCCACAATCCCCTCTTTTTCCCGTAGTCCCACGAACTACGAATGCTCTGATTTTCCACTTCTTACAAGTGAAGATACGTAGGCACAAGGGCCTCAATCCTTGGCGAACACCCTATCTTAAAACTACCCATTTCCCCTATAGGAGAAACCTTAGAAGAAAACAAACAAGCGTAGTCAACTTTACTCTCGAATCAAATCAAGAGGTTCTCGTTGAGTACAACGGACGTAGAGGGTGCTAATACCTTCCCTTTACGTAACCGACTCCCGAACCTTGAATATTGGTTGCGATGACCATGTTCTTATCCCTTTAAAGGTTTTATCGGTATTTTCCTATTCCTGCCTTGGAATAAATAATGTTCGGTGGCGACTCTGTTTCGAACGTATTTTCTGCGTCCATCGTGAGGATCGTATTTTTCGAGGTACGACACATAACACATAGATATTAAGGTTTAAGATAATATAATGAAGTTCAAAGTTCAACAATACGGTAATTGAATTGACAAGCAGTGCCTTAGATTTAAGGAATTGGATTGTTGCAGACTTTGTAGCATCAGGTTTTATCTCATTAAAAAATTGTTTATAGTTTTAGGATATTGATTCACGTGAATTAAGTTGTTTGTTTTCAATTTTAGTTTCAGAACCTATACTTTAGTTCTTTTTTTAACGCGGTTGTCTAGTTCGTTTTTTATGGGGTGAATTGTGAGAATTTGTATTGGGATTGTGAGGAAGATGAAGATGTTACAATTGATTTTAAATTGGATTAGTCGGTCTAATAGATAGAATATTAGGAAAAAGAAAATGAGATTTTACATTAAGAGAGAATTTGATTTTAAAGATATTTAAGTAGGTTTTGAAGAATATTTCTGATATATTTTTAAATTAATTATTAATTATTTGTTTTAAAAAAGATGTAGTCGCCATGCAAATTTTAGAGGATGATTATATTCATAGTCTTTGTGGTATTTAGATTGAACTCTAGTGTCAATAAGAGTAGTTTTATGGTTCAACAAGAGTTGTGCATGCTGTAGTTGAAGCCTGTTCAAGCATGATGTCAGAATATGTTAGTTTTGTGTTTAAGTTAGCATGTCGAATTAGACATTGCTTATAATCTTAATTGTTAAGTTAGATTGTAGTTTAAGTTAGCTTAATAATCTATAAATAGACCGGTTCTCTCATGTTGTTGAGAGAGATTAATTGTTATTATTCACTTGTAATCTTTGAACCCTTATTAAGAAAGTTAAAAGTAAAACAATTTTATCCAATTCTTATTCTTGTTCTTCCTTCATCTCTCTCTTTTTCGTAAAATCTAATAGGATTTCTAGTGTTTGTTCAAAAAACTCAAAATTTACCTCATAACTTTGTTATGTTATTGACGACATCGTTTCACAACAAACTGGTGCAGTGAGCGTGGAGAAAATGTCGTCAACAAAGTATGAGATTGAGAATTCATTGGTGTGAATGATTTTGGTTTGTTATGTTTGTTCAAAAAACTCAAAATTTACCTCATAACTTTGTTATGTTATTGACGACATTGTTTCACAACAAACTGGTGCAGTGAGCGTGGAGAAAAAAAGTCGTCAACAAAGTATGAGATTGAGAATTCATTGGTGTGAATGATTTTGGTTTGTGGCGCTTAAAGATGCAAGTCCTTCTTATTCAACAGGGATTGTTAGAAGCGTTGAAAGGATCAGAGAAAATGGATGTTGCCGTATCGTAGAAGAAGACAACGATGGTCGAAAAAACCCACAATACCATTGTATTGAGCCTTGACGATAAGGTTCTCCGACAGGTTTCAAATGAGAAAACTGCAGTCGGTGTATGGACTAAATTTGAAGGTTTGTACATGACAAAATCGTTGCTTAATCGTCTCTACCTGAAGCAAGCTTTGTATTCATTCAAGATGAGTTAAGACAAAGCCTTGGCTGAGCAGCTGGATATGTTTAACAAGTTGATTCTTGATCTTGAGAATATCGAGGTCAATATTGATGATGAAGATCAAGCATTACTGTTGTTGTGCTCTTTACCTAAGTCTCATGCTCACTTCAAAGAAACTATTTTGCATGGAAGAGAGTCGTTGACCTTTGAAGGTGTTCAATCTGCCTTGTACTTTATGGATTTGAATGAACGAAAGGAGTAAAAACCATCTTTTGTTGGTGAAGGTTTGTCCGTTAAGGGGGAGTTCTTAAAGAATAATGCTAAGTTTGAGAAGAAAAAGGGTAAATTTCTACATAATTCTTATGGTGGTAATGCTCCCACTACTAAGTGTTATCATTGTAAGAAAGAGGTTCATACAAGAAAAGTATCCCTTGTTCGGCTAAACAATCATGATGGAAAGGATAATGGTAAGTAACCTTATGGTGGAAAGTAACCTTTCAAATTGAATTAGAAATTTATAGTATAAAAAATTAAGTTATGTTAGAAAATAACTTATATTGATCAATATTTTTCGAGTTTTCTTCCTTCCATTCTATGTATCTTTCTCTTTGAGAGTTATAATTTGGTTTAATACTTTTAGTTATTCAATTAACACTTTCTTCTATTAGTTCAATGAACTAGTAGAGAATGGAGTGTTGGTTGAAGAGTCACAAGCATTGAACCTAATTCTAACACTCAAAAAGTGACATACGAAGAATGAAAGGAAGAAAGCCATGAAAACGTTTATTATTGTAACTTGTTATTCTAATATAACTTAATTAGTCAAATTATTAAGTTTTATATAAGATTGAAAGATTTTATGTTTAGTGAGTAGTTGGTGAAATAAATATTCCACATATGTTATAATAAACTCAAATGAATATATCACCATGGTTGAAAGAAATAATCGTAGTGAAAAGTTATGCGTCGAGTCTTTCACTACTGTTGGAAAGAACAACCATGGTGAAAAGTTGAGAACATAACCAAAATGTTGGCCTGAGAATCGAACCTCTGACTTCTACTTTTTACTATGGTTATCATAAGAAATCATGGTGATACGTAAATCGCTACTGTGTTTTTACCACAAATTTCTGTACGTGGTGATAAATAGTGTACATACTACCATACCATACTTTACCATGGTCCTCCACCCGTGGTAATATTCTTTTCCTAACCATGATAAAATGTCCTTTTTGTACTTCAAATTGAGGATGAAGTTGATGAAAGTTCCGCCCTTAGTTCAAAAAGAACAAAAACTTCTACGGCTTGGGAATTTTTTGAAAAGTTTGTGGACGATAAAGGACTCCCAAATGCCAAATGTAAAAATTGTGATAAAATTTATATGGCTAGAGATGGTGGTGGCACTTCAAATTTGATAAAACATGCAGTGAAATATGTTGGAAGACGGAATGGATCTTCTTATCCGCCACTGGATCAAGAAAAGTATAGGGAAAATATTTCTAAGGTAATTGTCAAACACAATTATCCTTTTACTTTTGTTGAACATGAAGGGATAGTTAACTTACTTTGTTTCTTACACCCCGATGTTAAGTCAATTACTAGAAATACTGCAAAGTCTGATGTTCTGAAGGTGTTTAGAAAAGAAAAAGGAAACTTAAAATCCTATTTATAGTCGATTCCAGGAAAAATTTGTTTAACATCCGATCTATGGTCTGCAATAAATACAGATCAATATATGGTTTTGACTGCACATTTTGTTAATAGGAATTGGGAATTAGAGAAAAAAGTTGTATCCTTCACTCATTGTCCACCACCTCATAGCAGTTTTAATTTGGCTGAGAAGTTGATAAATTTGCTAAAGGAGTGGGGTATTGAGAAAAAAATATTCACGATTACTTTAGACAACACATCTAAAAATGATGTTATAGTGAATATATTGAAGAAATATTTATTATCAGGATTAGGATTGATAGCTGAAGGTACTTATTTTCATGTTAGATATGGAGCACACATCTTAAACTTAATTGTTCATGATGGTTTAAAGGTGATAGATGGATCTTTGGATAAAATTAGGTTGTGTGTGAAATATGTAAGAGGCTCAGAAGCTCGAAAGATAAAGTTTGCATTTTGTTTAGAGCAACTTTCAAATGTGACTTCTAAGCAAGTTCGTCAAGACTTACCTACTAGGTGGAATTCCACTTATCTAATGCTTGAGACTGCTATGGGTCAACGAGAAGCCTTTACCCTCCTAAGCGATATTGATCCCTATTTTGATTGTTGCTTATCAAACGAGGAGTGGGATGAGGTAAAAACCATTGCTGATTTTTTGAAGCCATTTTATGACATCACTGTGTTTTTTTCAGGTAGCACTTATCCAACCGCCAACCTCTATTTTAGTGGTGTGTGGCGAATTCATATGAAAATCAAGGAAGTTGCATGTGTTGATCATAGTGAGTTTGAGAAACGAAATCAATTATATTGCATGGCTAGAAGAATGAAGAAAAAATTTAATAAATATTGGAATTCTTATAGTGTTGTGCTATCATTTGCTGTCATCTTAGATCCTAGATATAAATTGCAGTTTGTTGAGTGGTGTTATGTGAGGTTGTTAGGTGGTGAGGGAGTACAAGTTGCAAAGTTGATTTTTGATAAGTTGAAAGCTTTTTTTCAAGAATATCTCAAGTCCTTAAATGAAGCAAGCACTTCATCTTCACAAAGGTCAATTAGAGGTTTCTTTTGAAATATTCTTGAAAAAAAGCTTTCAACTTATCAAAAATATACTTTGCAACTTGTACTCCCTCACCACCTAACAACCTCACATAACACCACTCAACAAATTGCAACTTATATCTAGGATCTAAGATGACAGCAAATGATAGCACAACACTATAAGAATTCCAATATTTATTAAATTTTTTCTTCATTCTTCTAGCCATGCAACATAATTGATTTTGTTTCTCAAACTCACTATGATCAACACATGCAACTTCCTTGATTTTCATATGAATTCGCCACACACCACTAAAATAGAGGTTGGCGGTTGGATAAGTGCTACCTGAAAAAAAAACACAGTGATATCATAAAATGGCTTCAAAAAATAAGCTATGGTTTTTACCTCATCCCACTCCTTGTTTGATAAGCAACAATCAAAATAGGGATCAATATCGCTTAGGAGGGTAAAGGCTTCTCGTTGACCCATAGCAATCTCAAGCATTAGATAAGTGGAATTTCACCTAGTAGGTAAGTCTTGACGAACTTGCTTAGAAGTCACATTTGAAAGTTGCTCTAAACAAAATGCAAACTTTATCTTTCGAGTTTCTGAGCCTCTTACATATTTCACACACAACCTAATTTTATCCAAAGATCCATCTATCACCTTTAAACCATCATGAACAATTAAGTTTAAGATGTGTGCTCCATATCTAACATGAAAATAAGTACCTTCAGCTATCAATCCTAATCCTGATAATAAATGTTTCTTCAATATATTCACTATAACATCATTTTTAGATGTGTTGTCTAAAGTAATCGTGAATATTTTTTTCTCAATACCCCACTCCTTTAGCAAATTTATTAACTTCTCAGCCAAATTAAAACTGCTATGAGGTGGTGGACAATGAGTGAAGGATACAACTTTTTTCTCTAATTCCCAATTCCTATTAACAAAATGTGTAGTCAAAACCATATATTGATCTGTATTTATTGCAGACCATAGATCGGATGTTAAACAAATTTTTCCTGGAATCGACTATAAATAGGATTTTAAGTTTCCTTTTTCTTTTCTAAACACCTTCAGAACATCAGACTTTGCAGTATTTCTAGTAATTGACTTAACATCGGGGTGTAAGAAACAAAGTAAGTTAACTATCCCTTCATGTTCAACAAAAGTAAAAGGATAATTGTGTTTGACAATTACCTTAGAAATCTTTTCCCTATACTTTTCTTGTTCCATTGGCGGATAAGAAGATCCATTCCCTCTTCCAACACATTTCACTACATGTTTTATCAAATTTGAAGTGCCACCATCATCTCTAGCCATATAAATTTTATCACAATTTTTGCATTTGGCCTTTGGAAGTCTTTATCGTCCACAAACTTTTCAAAAAATTCCCAAGCCGTAGAAGTTTTTGTTCTTTTTGAACTAAGGACCTAACTTTCATCAACTTCATCCTCAATTTGAAGTACGGGTTCATCACCATCGGTAGACATATTTCCTATAATTTGACAATAATTGAAGGTGAGTGCAAAGGAAATCAAACTGAATTATCCAATTAAAACCCACTAATAACATTAAGACTCGAAACCATAAAAACACTTCAATAATTTATTATGCATCAACTAGCTTTATTTCATATAGATTAATGACATTACATGTCAAAAAATACAAACAATATATATCAAATTTCCTAGACATTAATGACATTACATGGCAAGTATCATACTACATAATCCGGCCCTCTTCAGAAGCTTCCCAGCACACTTGAATCAAAGAAGTTTCCCCATGCACAACCACAAAAATCACAGTTCACTCTGCCTAAACTTTTCATAATCTTTTGATGATTAGTTAATAATCGATTATGTCCAAGCAACCAAACAAACAACTTAATACACTCCTGCACATTGAGATTCCAGACGTTCTTCCAAATATTATTATTTTCCTCCTCATCAACCTCTTTCAAAGCTATCAAGGGATTCAATCATATATTCCATGATAGGAATAATGTCATTGAAAATTTTACAAATGAAATCATTGTCTATCATGAAATTTATGTAATAGTTTTTTTGAAATAAGTCGGTGGCAATTAGGAAGAAGGCTACTGCTCCTGCCAATTATTAAGCATAATGTTTGATAGTATGAAAGGAAAATGAAGTCTATGTTTAGATTGGTGGTGAGTTTGGCTAACTCACGATAGCATTTTGATATCACTGTGATATCATTGAAGCTCTATAGGGTAGCTTTTGTTAAAATTATATTGATATCTTGTGATTATGTCTAACTTACCGACAACTTAAATACACACAAAATGACACGAAAGTTGCCTCATTACAGAGACAAGACACCCATTTTGCTGGATTTCGAGTTCTAATTGGTATAAGAGCTGAATATATTTTGCATGCTCTATCAAGGCTATTAAAGTGGTTTCAAACAACTGATATTGAATGCATTCTCATGCAAATTTGAACACATGCATACTCAAGTGAACCCAGCGACACAAATGAAAACTAATTACAAGAAGTTCTTGCAGTATATAATAACACACATACAAACTATCATCAAAATCAAGAATGGACTCAGCCTAACAAAACTCCAGAATCTAGATCAACAGGGGAAGATTCGATAAGTCATTATAAATGGTTTCTCTTGATGCTTCCACAAGTTTGATTGGATTAGAAGCAGGAGGTATAAGTAACAGCATGATGGTTTTCGTTTTGTGAGGCTCCATATGGAAAAATTGATGGATAATTTTCCAATTTGACTTGCTGCAGTAACAATCTACCAAAGTCCATCAACCTTTTAGAGTCTCGCCTATTTTCTTTATATTTAGTTATCAAGTCAAAACTTTTTGGAGTATTCTTTCTGCATTCTTTTACATGCGAATAACAGAAAGGTAAAGTTCTCCTTTGATATATGAGCTAGAAAATTATTTGGAAAATATCTCAGTAATAGATTACAAATTACTCTTCTAAATAATAACATCCTTTTCCAGCAAGTTAGAGATCCAAGCCAAATATCATCAAAATGTTAGAAAGGGATCAATGAGTTTTTGTATCTCATCATTATAGAAAAGAGTTTGAGGAGAGAATGGCAGGGAGCAATTGCGAATGGGGAAAGGCTCCTTTACTATAAATAATTTAGTTATATGAAAGAGAAGAAAGGTGAAAAAGGCAACACTGGAGCAGCCATATATCTAGCCTATATGGAATCTTAATCCAAAATCTGCTCTCATACTCTGTACCTTATCCTAAACTAACTATTCCTAAAGTTTTAGTTAGGTAAAAACAAAATTAATGGTTTTTTTCTTTAATCACTAAAATGACTTTGGAACCAAAACCAGCTCTCACAGTTCTTATTGTTTGCAAGTAGTAATACCCTTATTGTTTGCAAACCAAAACCAGCTCTCACTGTTCTTATTGGTTCTGCTGCTGTTGGTTCCAAAGTCATCTCTAAGATGCAAAATCCTATAGTAATTATAATCATTTCTAACAAAGTATCATTATTTGCATGTTCTTAACCAAGCATAATCAAAATAACACTTGAAACCATATTTCTATCTTAAAATAATCATCTCTAACATGCAAAATCCTATAGTAATTATAATTCTAAGAACGTCTATAAACCTTAAAAATAGTTACAACAGAGTAGTTAGAATCACCATTTCCAAACAAATATCTCCAATTGATAATTTTAAAACACTTGAAATCAAGTATATATGTATTTGCGATTTTTTAACCAAGTATAATCAATCAATAACACTTGAAATTAATTTCTATAGTAGAACACAATTCATATAACAGAACACAAAAATATTACCGAATGTCGAGTAAGAAGCCATATTAAATAGCTAAAGAGAGAATATCCAGCCACAACAATTACGAAAACTGGTTGTTTCTGATTTGAATTTGGGATATTGTAGCACCGAAACGTTGCAATTGTAGCACCCAATTGTTGAGATGAATGGCGATTGAAGCACCGAAACGTTGAGATGAATTACTAGTGCTTGATATTAAAACGAAATTGAGAGAAGAAGAAATTGGGGAAGAAGAAATTTGGAGAAGAAGAAATTTGGGGACGAAATTAGGATTCTTGGTTTAAACAGAAATTTGGAGAAGAAAAAATTTGGGGAAGAAATTAGGGTTCTTAGTTTAGAGAGTAATTTGAAGAAGAAGAAACTTTCTAAGTAATGTTTGGGAAGAAGAAGAAGAAATTAAATGTTTTTGTTTTTTTGTGTTTAAAATAAAAAAAAAATTATTTAATGGAAATGTTTAATGTTTTATTTATAAAAATAGTTTATTTAATTAATTTAACAAGTGATAATATAAGATCTAATGAATTTATAAAATGAGATGGATGGATTGAATCCATCCATATGAGTTAGTGGATAGATTGGATCAAATCCATTAAATTATTTTTTGTTTTATGGATAGATTGGATGGATAAATTATTGGATGAATTGGATGGATAATATCTAAATGGATTTTATTACCACCTCTACATAAGACTCTAAATTATTTCCAATGGACACTCCAATTGATTCTAGACAAAGAAAATAGTTAAGCAATGTTGTTACTATAATCTAGCATGCTCGCTTTGCCTTTCAAATCTAACTTGTTGAGATTAATCTTTTGAATTTTATACAAAACGTTGCTCCTATGACTTTGATACTGTAGATCTTTCATAATCTTTCAATTCTTTTTAAGCACAAAACTCCCCTCACCCATTGACATATTCCTGTTACCCTTCAAAATCGTGCCAACATTTCAACATTTTTAATGGTTTTGGCCCCAATCATCAATTATCATTTTTATCTATAAGGAACCTATCACAATGAATTTGAAAAACATATGTTCAAGCACGACTACAAACATGAAATCCAATTCTCGCATCACTTATCTAATAAAATATATTGATCTAGTTTGCTCGTGCACATTCCATCTAGACGTGATTAAATGAACGTCCTTCCTATAAGATTTAATTTTAATATAATTTGTGTTGATATAAAGTTATTGAAACAATTAAGG